ACTATTGGCATCTCTGACCCCCGATATGTACACAAAAATAGCTGCAATGTAGCTAATGGTGCACTATTGGCATCTCTGACCCCCCGATATGTACACAAAAATAGCTGCAATGTAGCTAATGGGGCACTATTAGCCCTCTGACCCCAATATGTACACTAACACTAGCTGCAATGCTGGCTAATGGTGCACTATAAGCCCTCCGACCCCAATACGTAGGCCTACACTAACAACAGCTACAATGCTGGCTAATGGTGCACTATACGCTCTCCGACCCCAATACGTAGGCCTACACTAACAACAGCTAAGCATGATTTAAATCTGGATAAGTTACAGTTGAGAATAGAACGATTATTTCTATGTATAAACTATTAAGAAGTCTGCAAATAGTTTACAAAAACAAAATAGATAGTAACAATAGTCGCAATGTAAATACTTTCTAATTTATTTATTCTCTAATTTATTTATTCTCTAATTGATTTATTCTCTGATTTATTAATTCTCAAATTCATATACCAAATCATTTTTTTAAATGTATTCTATAACTGATTTATTCAATAACTTTTGTATTCGTTTTACTCTCTAATTTGCTCTTTCTCTAGGTGATCTATTGCCTACATTCAAGCTCCTGTTCAGTTTATCAATTTTATCACATAGGAGCATCATTTAAATTGTTTAATTGTTTCTGTATCAGCATGGACCGTACTAATATGAAAATATTGTGTTACTTCAGTCGACTTTTTATTTAACAAGTGCCGATATTCCCAACCTTTGCTGATGACTGAACAGACATCCCTGCGCCATACTTGAACGCGACTGACAGTCTTAATCTTTGATTTGAATGTGGACAAGTCATGCAACCCCTACCCTGAGAATAGCATCACGTGATCGTGTTTCCCGATGACGGCCCTGCCGTCACCAGTGATGTAATCGCTGAAGGCGTTAAGGGACTTCTTGGCGTTTAAAATGTGACCGGAGCCAGGTTCAGCATGCTGCTCAGAGAACGGTGACGATCCTGCGCTCTGGAAGCATTCAAAGTTAAGTTTGGTTAAATTCTAACTCCCCCCCCCCCGATAGACGACCAGGTAAACAAAAGTGAACGTTTTTTGTTTGATTTTTCGCTGCGGAAAATTCCTATTTGGTCCAAATGTCGTCCTGTTTCTCCCTAATTGATTTCCTGATGGGCAAAGTTGCTGCGTGGGACGATCTGGTCAAATCCAAAATCAGTATTTAATAGCCACATATCCTACTAAAAAAAAATACATTCTGGGTGTTTGTTTGTTTAAATGTTTGTTGTTTTTTGAGGAGATGTTCTTTGAAAACATCACGTCAAAAAATTATGCTTTGAATTGCTTTGCTTGCCAGTTAAAGAAGAGAGAGGGAATGAAGGAGATGAAGGGAGTAATGAATTGCTTTGCTTGTCAGTTAAAGAAGAGAGAGGGAATGAAGGAGATGAAGGGAGTAATGAATTGCTTTGCTTGTCAGTTAAAGAAGAGAGAGGGAATGAAGGAGATGAAGGGAGTAATGAGGTAAAGGAAAAGAGTTGGCGCTTTCAAAATAGATTAATTTGGTCACTAACAATGTTGAAACTATCGACAGTGTCAAATGAACGAATTGAGTCAATATTGATGCATTGACAATTGATGCATTGACAATATTGATTCAAGGACAATATTGATCCATTGACAATATTGATCCATTGACAATATTGATTCATTGACAATTTTGATTCATGGGAAATATTTATTTACTGTCAATATTGACTCACTAACAATATTGATTCATTGGCAATATTGATTCATTGACAATATTGATCCTTTAACAATATTAATTAGCGCTGTCTATTGATAGAACTTAAAATCTGCCCCTGCAAGCGGCTTAATATTTGTTTCTATAATTTATAAAATTGCCCTTCACTCAAATGATTTAGCCGACTGCTGCCTTTAAGATAAGCTATCAAAACTATTTCAGATCATTAACAATGAAATTTAAGTCGCAAAGACATAACTTTAATATTATACTTACTTTATATTATCATTCTGAGACCTACCTCCATTTCAATCACACATGAGAGAGGTCATACTTACTTTATCATTCTGAGACCTACCTCCATTTCAATCACACATGAGAGATGTCATACTTTATCATTCTGAGACCTACCTTCATTAAAATCACACGTATGAGAGAGGTCATACTTACTTTATCATTCTGAGAACTACCTTCATTAAAATCACACGTATGAGAGAGGTCATACTTACTTTATCATTCTGAGACCTACCTTCATTAAAATCACACGTATGAGAGAGGTCATACTTACTTTATCATTCTGAGACCTACCTTCATTAAAATCACACGTATGAGAGAGGTCATACTTACTTTATCATTCTGAGACCTACCTCCATTTCAATCACACATGAGAGGTCATACTTACTTTATCATTCTGAGACCTAACTTCATTAAAATCACACGTATGAGAGAGGTCATACTTACTTTATCATTCTGAGACCTACCTCCATTTCAATCACACGTATGAGAGAGGTCATACTTACTTTATCATTCTGAGACCTACCTCCATTTCAATCACACATGAGAGAGGTCATACTTACTTTATCATTCTGAGACCTACCTTCATTGCAGTCACACGTATGAGAGAGGTCATACTTACTTTATCATTCTGAGACCTACCTTCATTAAAATGACACGTATGAGAGATGTCATACTTACTTTATCATTCTGAGACCTACCTTCATTAAAATGACACGTATGAGAGATGTCATACTTACCTTATCATTCTGAGACCTACCTTCATTAAAATGACACGTATGAGAGATGTCATACTTACTTTATCATTCTGAGACCTACCTTCATTAAAATGACACGTATGAGAGATGTCATACTTACTTTATCATTCTGAGACCTACCTTCATTAAAATGACACGTATGAGAGATGTCATACTTACTTTATCATTCTGAGACCTACCTTCATTAAAATGACACGTATGAGAGAGGTCATACTTACTTTATCATTCTGAGACCTACCTTCATTAAAATGACACGTATGAGAGAAACTCTGATTTTAAAAGCTGTCGTCCTCATCCCTTGATAGATTTCATCAACCTTTTATGAAAGACAAAATTGCTTGAGAAGTAAATCAATGGCATGCCACAAAGTGTATTTTTTCCCGCTTCCTTAAATTTTAATTGTCTTTTCCCTTGACGAATCCAGGTTCTCCCAGACGCCCCATAGGACATTCCAGCCACAGCACTTTCAAATAGTGAATAAAAAATAGTTAAATTTGATTGGTTGGGTGAAAATAAATGAAATTTGTATGTAGGTCAATATGCGCCATGTAATAAACCATTTGTAACAGCTCATGCAAACATTGTTAACTCACGTAAGTTTCTGGTTAGAACATTGCCTTTTAGATAGTGTGTCCCGTCACATTGGATTAAGAGTGGGGGAAAAATAATGATGAACCCATTAGAATATTTCGAAGCGCCCTTGCAAGTAAGCTTACCGGGATGAAACTGTGCACGATTTGAGAACCATTGGGCTACGCCAAACCGATGTACGAAGAGCCCCAGTGACAAGGCTTTCACGTCATAATTATAAAGGAATAAATTGATGGTTTTTTTTAATTTTGGGCATGGGTTTAAAAGCTTATCTGTACGTGTACAAACGAAGTTTTTTAAAAGGGGCGTGGGGGGCGGGGTGTAATCCCAAAATGTACGGAGGCAAAGGATTTGGGTAGGGAGAGGGTGGGAACTTTGCTTTTTTCAAACGTAATTTAGGGATGCCCCCTTTCTGAGTCTAGAGATGTTATTGCTACCACCACCACCACCGCCTTTTTTTTTGTTCCTTTTCAATTAGACGCTGTTGATGTTTCCTATAGATAATTCCTTAATTGTAATACACGGGCAAGACGATGCCCCCCCAAGCACTCCCCCCCCCCCCAAAGTTTATCTCAAAATACCCGGATAAAGTTTTTTTTTAAATTTAATTATTTTTCTAATTTTGTGTTTGTTTTGCTTTTTTTAAAAGTAATTTATGGATGCCCCCTTTCTGAGTCTAGAGATGTTATTGCTAACACCACCACCATCGCCTTTTTTTTTCCTTTTCAATTAGACGCTGTTGATGTTTCCTATAGATAATTCCTTAATTGTAATACACGGGCAAGACGATGCCCCCCTCCAACCACTCCCCCCCCCCAAAGTTTATCTCAAAATACCCGGATAAAGTTTTTTTTAAAATTTAATTATTTTTCTAATTTTGTGTTTGCGCTGATGAAGGCTTCTTGACGATACGTTCGTCGTTTTGTTGCTAGTTTTTTAACAGGTTTTCCCATACTTTGTTTGGCTCATTTCCAATGGTCTCATTTAGATATTACTACTCGGAGTAACGTCATGAAACCGCTCAAAGGTAGAGACGAAGCCCTTTCTTACAACAGTACGTTTGGGGTTCAGTCACACCCCTTCTTCAAACACCTTCATGGGATACAGTCCAACCCACTCGCCTCGCTCTACTTAAGAGTACAGTTGTCCCCCCCCAACGCCCCTGGCACCATTTTTGGATGTTGTCACACGCTTAACCAATAGCGTGGCCCGGTTTTGGCGCTACACAAATGACGTGTACTCATGTCACCAACTGATTTCAGGATCAACAAATGTTGTGACCTTATATCACCAACTCATCTCAGACATGACAAATGACGTCACCTCATATCACCACCTCATCTCAGCCATGACAAATGACGTGACCTTATGTCACCAACTCATCTCAGCCATGACAAATGATGCGACCTCATTTCACCAACTCATCTCAGCCACGACACATGACGTGTTCTCACGTCACCAACTCACCTCAGCCATGAAAAACGCAGTGTACTCACATCACCAACCCACCTCAACCATGACAAAGGCTTTGTACTCACATCACCAACTCACCTCAGCCATGACAAAGGCTGTGTACTCTAGTAGTGACTGCTCAGCCCACCTCCTATCAAGCTTGTGAAACTGTTCATAGCCGGCGTAATCAACCACAACGGCAACGTCGATGCGGTAGGTTCCAGACGCGTGACGGACGGGACGTCGTACGGTGAAGTTATTTGGTGTGGCAGGAAACGGGAAGGTGGCCCCAACGCTCTTGTGGATTACTGGAAAGAATGAGATTTCTCCATGCAATGAAGGGTCCGTCAATAAATGGAGGTATATTAATTAGCTTCCAAAATATATCCTAAATCTTACAAGATACAAAAAGAGACAAAAGTTAGCCTTGTAGAAATATACTAAATGACAACGTTTATAAATTGATAATAATTACATGTGCTATATTTTAAAACATAATAATAACAATAATAATAATAATAAAGATTATTTGAAAATCACGCTTCATCCCCAAAGGCTCGAAGCGTGGTACATACCAAATTGAAGTACAAAATGCAACATAACAAAAACTGCCCATTCTAAGTCTTTCATACCTTGCAATCAAAAACAACACAGGCCAATATACATCTACAAGATAATAGCTAGATAGACAACATCACCCCCAGCAGGTGTTTGCGAAATAGATAAGTCTTCAAATCAGTTTTGAAAGAATCCAGTGTCTGACTGTTTCTGAGAGCGACAGGAAGGGTGTTCCAAATTGTTGTTTCAAGGTGAACACGTGGTATCGAGAGTCTGCCACTATCGGATGAGCAGAGTCGTCTAGTCGGTACATAAGGCGTCAGTAGTTCTTTGAGATAGGATGGGGCCAGGTCATGCCAGCAGCGGTAGCACAGAGTTGCAATTTTGTACTCTATGCGAGCGCGGATCGGCAGCCAATGAAACTCTCTCAGAAATATTTTTGCATGGTTGACTTTGCGTTTTCGAAGAACAACGCGAGCCGCATTATTCTGTGCTTATTAAAATTTTATCCAGAAGCCTAGGGTGAAGACCCACCATAAGAGCATTGCAGTAGTCCATGCGTGGTAGCACGAATGCAGACATCAGCCTCTTTGATGACATGATGACAATGCACAGTTAACATTCTGTCCTTGTTTAAAATTTGATGTTATATTGTAAAGAAATAGAAAATGGAAACAAATGGCTCATGTTTTATAGTTAGCAACAACCAATTTTAAAATGTACGCCATTCAAACGATGGAAAGTTAGTTTAATTCCGTATGGTTCTGAGAACAGGCCAGCACGTTTACCCAGACATGTAAGTCTTTAATCCAGGTATGTTGCACACACACACAAAATGATAATAATTAAATACCAATTTAAAATATAATTTGTAATCAACATCAGGTATGCAGAGGATAGCGAGTATTCACTGGTGCCTTCGCTGCCTACATGTTATTAGATTAAAATTGCAATTAAAACTGGTGAAAATGCAATTTTTTTTTACTTCGATTCATTTTTAACCATTTTTACTCCAGTGGTGGAGGTAGACGACGCACTCCGTTGTGTGGGGTATAGATGCCTTAGAGAAACACTGCTTGTAAACAATAAATAAATAAATATATAAACATATATATAATATTCGAAGAATGGGATGAATTTTACAGTTACATAGTAGAGTTGTACACACGAAAGCTTCGAGTTACGCTTACTGGGTGGTTTTTTCATGTTTGTCATAAAGAACCAATCAAACGTGGACAACTCACCAGTGTCTTTATTATTGTGGGAAGGTGGCGTCTTCATCAGCTCGAGCATATAGAGGTCATCGTCTGAGGTCGCCGACCCGGAAGTGGCAAATCGACCGTCACGTGTATATGGGGTCAAGTGATAGAACGAGCCAGTTAGGAAAATTTGACCTTTCTGTTCAAAGTTAAAAATCGTAATAAGAGAGACTGACAGTGCAAATGTTAGCATCAACTTAACTTAACTTTCTAACTTTTTAAGATGGCTCAATTAAAATTTAATGTTAAGCCATAGTTTAAGCTCGAGTCCAAATTGTTTAATGTTAAAACTTAGTTTCTACTTGTCCGCCACTTGCCAGCTTAAGCACTGCCATCGTGTCCATGACGTCATTCGTCCTTGTTATCTTCACGAGGGAAAGTTGAATCTGGTCACGGTAGAATCCCGTATTCTGAGGAACAGTGGAGAGAAGACAGCTCATACACTTTTTACGACACCTTCAGTGTTCCGAAACATAGGAAGCAATACAGATGGGAATAGATGCAAGCCTGGAGAATGGGAAGACATCAAATTTGGTGAATAGGAAGAGATGAATAATTTCTGCATTGAAACCTGTACAAGGGTGGGTTAATAGGAGTAGATGCAAGGTTTGTAAATAGGTTCAGATGCAAGGTTTGTAAACAGGTTCAGATGCAAGGTTTGTGAACAGGAACAGTTCCACGAATAGTGACCTGGAACCGATGCAAGATTCGTTAATATGATCTTGAACAGTTTTTACTGTTGTTTTCTTTCCGTGAACTTCGAAATACAGTTTTTTTAAATATTTTAAACAAAGTTCTTGCCTCAATTGTCTGTGTTACTTTAACACCCTGGCTTGAGTCTTTCCGTCGGCAAATGGTCACTAAGAAATCTCTATCCCTCTGCCTATCACTATTTGGAGGTAACAAAAAAGTTAACATTCCCACCTGTCTAATTTTGACATCCAGTCTTTTGCGAACGTGTTCCCCATCTTCACTGACTTGCAGGGTGTACAAAGGTATATCAGGCGACTTGTACTTGACGTGCCTCAGGTGCATGTGCCAGGCCGTGTTGTTCCCTGTGCGCAAGGTCACGTTGACGTCATCGGGAAGATACTGACCTGTCACGTCGCTGCTTCTGTAGTTGAGTCTCACTGGGGACATAAGGCCCCGCGGGGCAGAGTTGGGAAATATGTTTTGGGCAGAGTGGGGGAATGTGTTTTGTGCAGAGTGGGGGAATGTGTTTTTGGCAGAGTGGGGGAATGTGTTTTGTGCAGAGTGGGGGAATGTGTTTTTGGCAGAGTGGGGGAATGTGTTTTGTGCAGAGTGGGGGAATGTGTTTTTGGCAGAGTGGGGGAATGTGTTTTGTGCAGAGTGGGGGAAAGTGTTTTTGGCAGAGTGGGGGAATGTGTTTTGTGCAGAGTGGGGAATGTGTTTTGGGCAGAGATATTAAAAAACGAAATCAATCAATTTAACATTTCTCTATTTTTTAATCAGTATTATTTTTGTCAGGCGTTGGAAACTAAAATAAGACAGTGCTCCAATACAGTTGATCAGTCCTCTCAACTCTCAACTTTAATGAACATATAATGTGATACACGCTAGAGGTGCGGTTTCCTAGCTTGAAAATTTCACAGGGTGTGTGGAAAGGTCCTTTTAGCAAAAAAAGAAGCCTTTGAAGTTTGTGTTAAGAAACTTTTTTTATAGTTCATTTTTAAACTCTTCATTAACATTTTAATTTATTTCGTAATAAATCTCTGATCTATTTTCTACATTTTACAGTAATTCAATAAACAAAACAAATTAGAAGCACATTTTTTCCAATTTTAAAATGCAGTTTATGTGGTTCGAAACACGGCCAAACAACGTATAGGGTGGTGCGAGACATGTGTAAGGGGTCCAGAACACAGAGATAGTTAAATACATCATTTCATTTTTTTTTAAAACTAATAAATTATAACTGGCTATGTATTTAAAGGTTGGTTTCAATCGAGCTTTAGAAAATGTTGATATCCTCGACTCTAGCATTAACCTTCAACTTTAAGAGAAATTATTTTCACTTCGTTTCCGTTACGTGTCAACTTACGTACTAAAAAAAAAAACTTTTATAACTTAGGAATTTGAAACATCAAAAAAAATTCTTCAGGTTTAAAAAGTTTTAAAAAAATAAAATAAATAATTAAAGCCATACCTTTAACGCAGTGAATGTCCTTGACAATGAGAAGATGACCAATCAGATTTGTTATCACCAAGACTGGTAGGCTTTGAGAATCGACCGTGACCAGCCATAGGCCTTTCAACTTTTTAGAATGAAAAAAAAAAATATATAAAAAAAATAAATAAATAAATTGAGCAAGCGCCAGAATAGTATGGTGGTTTGCTGTCAGTTTGTGTATTTTATTTTCATTGATGATCAAGGGCTCATCTTAAAAAAATTAATCTTACATTGATTACAAACGTTGCAGTCGCCATCTTCACTTTCAACATTAGAGAATACTGGCTTACATTGTAACGAAGGATAAACTTTTCTTTTGTCTGACATCGTATCTGTACATTCTGATTTCAATTCAAATTATTCAGACATCCGTTCAAAGCGTTTGTTCAAATTGTTCTCCTTTTTTATCCTTTGATGTATTTCGTACAGTTCATTTCATTTATCGTGTGAGATAGGAAATTCATTGTTTACAGTCTTACTGATATTCCCCTGTTATGACGACACCAAAATGATGGTAAAATATTAATCAAGATTCCTTCATAAACAATGAATTTTATAATTCTAGCAGCTAGCTTACAATGGAAATCCAGTATTTGTTAGAGTTTAATCCAATCAGCTAGCTTCCAACAGTAAACCAGTAAAGAGTTTAATCCAAGCAGCTAGCTTCCAATTAAATCCCAGCATTTGTTAGAGTTTAATCCAAGCCGCTAACTTCCAATCAGAATACCAAGCTTGTTACATCGCCAAAAATAAGCGCTACATTTCGAAGTCCTAATATGGTCACCAAAAACACTTACAACTAGGATGACTGTACAAGCTTTCGCAAATTCTTGTATCGTTACTGTTGTTGGCCAAAGCACGACTTACACATTTTTATTTACAATATCCATAACAATTTTGTAGCCATAAAACTTGGGCTAAATGTAAATTTTATTATTTTATTTTTTAAAATTCAATACGTATGGTGGCCCAATGGTATATTTATTTGTTAAGTCACCGTGTCACACTGAATAACATGATTTCGTGCCCAACGCACCGACGGCTGACTCGTTTGGTTAAATACTGTGCAAAGAGAGGGCGTCTCTAAATCCTCTACATAAATATATAGCAACTCACCATTGTCTTTGATGGGCGCTGAGACATAAATATATAACAACTCACCATTGTCTTTGATGGGCGCTGAGACATAAATATATAACTACTAACTACTTACTATTGACTTTCATGGCGCCATGATATAAAAATATAACAACTCACGGTATATTGAATTGGCCCTTCACTTTGATTGCCACGAAAAAACTTATAAAAACACTTACCATGATTTTGCAGACTTCCCTATTCAACTTGACCCATCACACACATGTCTCAATGGCGGCAGACGCCCGCCAGCTGTATTCTTGGAGGAGATTTTCCAGGAACAAGGGAATAAACTCCCTTACATGCATTTGAATCTTTGGCATTTCAGACGAGCTATGAAGGCTTTAAGCTTCTCAACAGTGGTCTCAGACACGTTCTCAATTTATTTTGTCTGTCGCTCATCATGTTTATGTGTTATTTTAATGATAATTCAATTTGATGTGTCATTGAAATGATGTAACAGATACAAAGTACGATACATTTGATTGACTATGGATTCCAAACCTTTTTTTTAGTGTGTCTGTTTTTTTAAGCGGCATTAAGTTTTTAAAAAAAACAAACAACAAAAACAACAACATTAAGATGAAAACGGAAATGCATAAAACCGGAAGTTTAGTTTTTTTAATGTTTAAAGTTTAGCCGTTTTGTTTAAAGATTAAACACTATGAACACATAAAATATGTTTAGAAGAATTTAAATGAAATTCATATTTTTAAATACTTCTTTAAGGCAAAGTTTTCATTAGTTTTTATGTAAGAAGCAACAAAAAATTTTCACATTTTAAACCTTGAGATGAAAATGACACTTTGGCAACCAAATAAAACATTAACAGAAGAAAAAGTAAGGAAAACAACAGTGCATTTATCAGGATGAATTTTTTTCAGTATATTTATTCCAAGTTGTAAAAAAGGACAAAGGCTTTACCTCGTGTACTTTGGCAACCAAATAAAACATTAACAGAAGAAAAAGTAAGGAAAACAACAGTGCATTTATCAGGATGAATTTTTTTCAGTATATTTATTCCAAGTTGTAAAAAAGGACAAAGGCTTTACCTCGTGGACATTTCACTTAATTACCATCACTAAACATTACGTCATCGGAAAGTATGGCCAATTAATTACCAGCAGTAAACATTATGACGTCGGTTCTCATCCTGTGAGAATCAGCCCTTTGTAATTCGCCTGACAATATGCCAACTTTAGACATTAAAATGTTTTGTAAACTTTTCCATTATTATCTTCTTTTTTAATCAAATTTAATTTTAAGATTTAAATACAGTTTACAGTGATTTGGCTAGTTTATAACTGTCGCCCTACTATGACTACATAGATTCTACGTATAAAAAAAAATATTTTTTTTTCTTATAATTTAATAATAAAATGTCGACCAAAAAAATTTATTTTTATAAAGTACATAATACATCATGTAGAAATGTTTTTTTCTCCAGTAGCCCTTAACTTCTCAACAAGTCTAGAACAATACTTTGCATCGGGTCGCCACAGTTTGGCAAATCTTATCATTGGGTCAGTGCCCTAGAAAGGTTGAGAGTGCCTGGTATAACCAAAGTAAGAAAACCTTGTGCCTCTTACTTACTTTAGGATGTTAATTCAGCGCCTCTCCCTCCTCGGGTTGTGACCTCCTCGGAATTCGCCTGACAATGTGTCAGGGGTCATCCTGGGTCGCTTAAGAACTTTTAGAAAATTAGCGTTGTTGTTGTTTGTTTTTTTTAGTTTCGTAAAAATGTTTTTATTTATCTTATTTTTTTTTAAAATATATAATACATTTAAATATTACTTCATTGGTAACAATACCTTATTATTGTTATTGCAATGTGACTCCACAATGCTTTATTAAAATTATACGATTTCTTCACTAGACGTCAGTAGATACAATTGATTATGAGTTCGGAATAAATGAGTAATAAAATAGAGATAAATCAACCTCAGCCAATGAAATTCTCACTGAGATGTTCAAGATCTGGTAACATTCCTTATTGTGGCTCGCCTCCACTTTGGCCGATGTAACCAAGGGTC